GATATACGCCAGTTTCCAACCGTCCTCCATCCGAAACCGAGACATCGCAATCCAGGAACGCCAACCTGCCATTTTTTTTCACTTTAGACATTTTTAATGTTGGATAAACTTTTCATAAGTTGACATAAGTCGTCTAAAACGTTATTGTGTGAAAGGGCCTTAAACATAACTTTAGACAGTGACACAGAAAAAACATGGTCAGCATATGATTCCAAAACAGCACCTGTTGTGTACAAAACAGCAAACACCAGGTACAAAGTTTGGGTTTGAAATGAGAAAAGTATAAATTGACCAGAATCCAACTGATAACATTCCTATCTTTCTTTAGTCCTGCTTCTTTTGGTTAAAACGATGTGTTTGTTGTCTATTTTTTTATTTTGTAAAGTGGAGGAAAGTGATGAAACAAGCGAGCTGAAGTCCATCCAGAAGGAGCTCGAGGAGCTGCAGGTGAAAAAGGAGGAGTTGGAGAACAAAGGAGATGCCAAAGAATACACAAATGAATGTACGCTGTTTTATCACCACCAAAATCTCTGCTAGTATACATGCACACAAATATGAACTTATTAGGCGCATGTGTGAAAAATTTGTGTTTGAACGATCAGGTCATGAAGTGCAGCGGCATTCTTACAAAAAAAAACCACGAGGAGGGATCTACTTGCTGCCTCCCCCGCTGCCAAACCAGGAAGTTCCAGGTGCAGAAGAAACACAGTCCAGCCACATCGTTCCAGGTGTGTCACAACTGTGTGAAGGTGTTGACAAGAGGACGAGCTTTAAATGTTCTGTCTGATTCTGGTGTTCGTGTTGTCCTTGTTGAAGTGGAGGCTTTGGGCCGAACATCAGAAGTCACAAAGTGTCCATCCTGTGAAGAGGTCGTTGTCACAGAAACCCACAGTACAAGGGGCGGGGCAGTGTGGATAATGTGCTTCATGTGCACCTTCATGGGGTGAGTTATCRATGCAGCTGTACTTTTTCCACAATTATTCTTTTACCTCAATTAAAATGTTTGCATCTAAATATTTCCTCTGCTCAACATGCTGCTGATAAAATGATACTTTAGCTAATTTAAGCAGAGATCTGTGGAAGTTTATGAACATTTAGTAACTCACCTGTTGTAAATAGCTGACCTCATGAGAAAAGGTTAATTTTCGGCTTAAGTGGATTGAAGTCCTCTTCAAACAGCTGCAATCTCAAAAGTTTTAAAGCAGTTAAAGCACATGCATTTTATAAGAACAAATGATCAAAATTGTAATCTAAATCATTTTAACAACATTGACTGTAAAAGAAAAAAACTACACTTATCACACACAACTTCTTGCATTGGTGGAAACTGAAGCCATGAGTGAAGTGATGGGGCACATGACCCTCTATAGCAGTGCTTCCCAAAGTTGGGGTCAGAACCCAAAATGGGGTCCCGAAACATCAAGGTGGGGTCCTGAAAAGATTTTCTGAATTAATTACATTTTTGCCTTAGTTGTTACAAAGTGTTAGGTTAGTATATTTAAAATGGATAAATGTGGTATAAAAATATTGTTACTATGCCCATGTTTAGTTGACCTGATACAAATGTTTATCATCCAAAAATAGTTGGGGGCACAGGTCTCTGCTACTGTTATTTTGTGGGTCAAAAGCTGAAAAGTTTGGGAACCACTGCTCTATAGAGCCAGTCAAGGCACTAACGATCTGTTGTTTGGCTGATGGTCCTCTTTTGCATGTGATTAACCTGTTTGTCCACCATGTGGAGGCAGTGCTTATAAGGCTGAGTTCACCTGAAACTCCTCAGACTGAAGAAGTCTGTTGGAGGAGACACAAAATGTTTCATTAACGAAGAACCCGTCCAGAGGACCTACTTATTTTTCTTTTTGATTTACGTCTCAGGATTTTGAATGGAACATAGTGTTTGCCATTCACATGTGGCTTTAGTTGTGATGTCATCATCCTGTGACAAAAGCAAACTCTGACACTGCTATAAAGATGTTATTTTAAATTTAAATTCAAAATGTGCTCATTGAAAACAATATGGATGTTACCTGTGGTCAGGCAGTTTGAAGTGTAGCTTGGACACTGGCCACAACTGCAAGTTTTAAAGTTTTGTAGGGAAATGTTAGCATCATTAGCAGCGTTAGCGGCTGCGTTTGTCACAGGATGACGACTTCATAACAAAAGCTGCACAGCAACACCAAAATTCTTAAATCAGATTTTAAAATTGAACCACAACATTTATATTTCACTTTTACATCTAGATTTAGGATTTAACATTTAGACAAAATTAATAAAATGCAAGAACAGTTAGCTAAATAATAAATTGTTAGCATTTTCAAACTATGATATTACACTAAGAAAGTGAGCTAAATAAGGAAAATATGTCAGTGACATTTTTTAACATTTAATTTTATGCTTGATGCTAGGGATGCACGATATATTGGCATTAACATCAGTATCGGCCAATATTGGTCAATTTTTAGAACATCGTATCGGTCGATAAGTAAAACTGGGCCGATATTAATGTCTGATATTGATTTCCTGCTTTTTAGCTTTGTGTTTCTGTTTTGGGAAGGGAGATGTTGGTCAAGCAGTATCTGTTTGATCATGATAGTGTTAGTGATGCTGCACAACCAGGAATAACTGAAGTAGAGCCATGTTAGAGGTCTGGTCGTTTATTTTACGGTATCAAAAAAAGACAAGTGTGTTTGTGCGTATCTCTATATAAATAATTTGTGTGTTTGTGTGATATCAGTAACATCGGTTATTGGCCATAACATCTATAATAATATTGGATATCAATATCAGCTGAAATTTCATATTGGTGCATCCCTGCTTGGCGCCCCATATAAAAAGTTCATAAATTAACTTTTGCATCAACCATTATGGATATTTTAAGATTGGAGTCATTTAAAAGCAAGCTGAAAAGACACTGGTTGATCAGTATGGTCAGAGTTAAACTAAACAGAGGTTTACAGTTTACTATTAAAGGGGCAATCATGTGAAATCAACTTTTTTTAGTTTTATATCATGTTATAATGTTATACTCTCATAAAAACATGCCCAAAGCCTTGCT